TCTTAATGTGAGTGATGAAGTGGTGAAGTTTCATGGTGATATCTATGAGTTCATGTGTTCACCTGTAGAGTCTCTAAATGTCTGTAATGGAACTAAACGTCTCTTTAAAGGACGTTTCCTCTAAATGAGTTTGTTCTCAGACTCTGATGATAAATCTCCACTTCAGCAGCTCTTACATTCACCAAACTTCACTCGTTCATTCCTCTCTGTGTGCTGAAGGTTCACACAGAGGGGTTAGTTCACACACCACTCACACACTCATTTATACATTTATTAATAAAACATGGAGAACAAGGATGTATTTATGTCTGTTGACAGTATTTTCTGGTTGATGGAGTGATATAAAGAGATATCATAAATGTAAAAACCTTTGACTCTAATATGTCAACAACATGAAACAATCATTTTGAACCATGGCTTTATCAGATGTTCAGATTTATGTTCTGGAAATGTATGAAAATCAGCACATATTTAATAAGAAAATGTCTCATTTTCATAATTAAACATAATATTTCTGAAAACTTGTAATACAAAAAGTAATTGTCTTATTGTAATCAACTGGGGAAGTTTCATGCTGATACGTTTTCAGACAATTCAAATAAAATATGACTTTATAGCTTTTAAGCTCATCTTTGAAGGATCTTTCATTTCATTAGCTTTACATAAAGCCTACAAAATCCCAATGTTCGAACTACAACTCCCACACACCCTTGCGTCCAAATCCTGCTGTCGACTGGTTGCTCTTCACCTCAACTCCATCATCCAGCTCTGTGAATGGCTCTTCAACCTTGCCAATCAAACGCAAGTAAACTCCGAACCAATCAGCTTGTAGCGTTCGTCTCCATATGTGGGCGGGGCCAACAACGCTGCTGCTCCCTTTACAAGCTTGTTTTTCCGGGATCATCGTTGCTGCTAACAACCTGCTGCTCGCGCACTAACGGGGTTCCCTCCCCAGCTGTGGTGTTCTGAGGATGAAGCCGAAGAGTCGACACTGACCCCCCCCACCCCACCCCACCACCACCAGCACCACCACCACTGGCCGGCTGCATGCTGCTCTCCTGACGCTTCGAGGTTTTGCTGTCTGGCCCTCCAGCCGCTGGCTGCGAATTAACTTCGTCCCCCCCCCCCCCTCCTTTAATATATTTATTTTATAAAGATGGCGGCGAGGGGGACACTGTGAACTCAATGACTGTCAGAAACATCGCCTCCATTTGTAATATGGTGAGTAAATCCTGCTGTGTGTGTGTGGCTATTGATTCGCCTGCAGCCGCTGTGTGTGTGGTGATGTCCATGGGTGAGTTTCCTCCCCCCCCTTTGCAGCCAGACTCACTATGCATGGGGGGGTGCACAGTGAGTCTGGTCACTACTTGTACAACATGCACCCTTTATCTCGGTGCTCAGACGGGCCTGCATCACTGAAACCTTCCCTCCTTGTCGCGTTGACAGCGTGCACATCAGTGTGTAGCTGTCACCGGTGATTGACAGGTGGAGGAAGCTCATGTTGTGATTGCATAATCCGCTGCAGAGAGCCGGTGACAATGCATCCTGGTGGCAGAGAGCCGGGATGTCAAACAAATTAAAAAGCCTGCAGTGCAGGTTTTGCATTAATGGTTTTCCCAATAACCAAGAGTTATTTACAAAGTGTTAGGGCACAGCTGAAGACGAGTTAAAGTATGAATGGACTCAGTGTAGGTGGTAGTGTGACTTATAAGTTAATATTAAGGATGCACCAAGTACGGATCCGATACCAGCGTTTAACCAGGAGGCAACCTCTGGTTCTGCAGAGTGAAGCCGATGCTTCACGTCTTAAAGCTGCATTCTCTCTAGTGTCCACCAGGGGGCGACTCCTCTGGTTGTATAGAAGTCTATGAGAAAATGACTCTACTTCTCTCTTGATTTGTTTTCTTGACAATGAAGATTGTAGCTGACCCCTCTCACCCTCTCACCCTGGACAAAAACTGTTTGTGCCACTTCCATCTGGTAGGAAGCTGAGGTCCATCAGGACCAAGACCTCACGCCACACGAACAGCTTCTTCCCGTCCGCAGTCAGGCTCATTAACAGAGCCCGGGTCCCCCACTGACTCCGTCACCCCAGGACAAATTCCCACCGGTCACTCCCCTGCATCCCTTCTATTACACTCGACACTTTACACTACACTTACATCTCACTTCTTTATAGTCCTGTCGTCTGTTCGTTTGTGCACTTTATTTTATATTTCATCTTTATTTTATATTTCATTTATTTTATATCTTACTTTATTTCATATCGTATCATATGTAAATTTTAATGTTTCTACTTGCACTGATTGTTGATTGTTAAATGTTTGCGCCTCCCGTCACGCCAAATTCCTTGTATGTTCAACATACATGGCAATAAACGGTTCTGATTCTGATTTATTACCTCAGTAAACATTGTAAACATGAGTTTATGGTCTCGATCTCTAGTTTCAAGTCTTCTTCAATACAGCATGATGTTCATTTAGTACATTATGGTCCATTTAGAGCCAAACAGACCATAAAGCAGGGGATGCTTTAGGGCGGGGCTACACGGTGATTGACAGGTCTCTACCTGTCACTCCTCCTCAGTCCATATATGGTCACTTCCTGTTCACTGGTTGCAAAAAGAAAACAATCGTATTCCAAGACTGTGAAATCACAGAGGCTTCATAACGTCAGTCTACAAACCAATGTATGACGTCACAATGACTACGTCCTCTTCTTATACACAGTCTGTGGCTGCACTACAAGCACGGACGGCTCTGTGAACAAAGCACCAAGAAGCTGTGATAACAACACACACACACACAGGGAGAGAGACTGTTCAGCCTCACCTTTTGTATTAACTTTATTTAATCAATGCAACCGTGAGAAACTTTCCTCGGTCTGAACTCCGGCTGGATTTGTCTACAAAGTACAAACTTTATGCTGAAGTTCTTCATGTTGATCTCTTTACTTTTCTCTCTCTATATATCTATCTATCTATCTATCTATCTATCTATCTATCTATCTATGATTTCATAGATGAGTAATATCTGTAGACTGCACGTCTTTTATATCAGAGGAAGTTATTAGTGTTTAACATGATGAATGTCCTGGAAAGTGATTTCTAGAAAAGACTGTGAGCTGATGATGGTAAACTGATATCTCTGTTTTTTGGACTGTTTATTGGGTAAGACGATACATTTTGAAGACGTGATCTTGGGATCTGGGAACTAATGAGCATTTTCCAAGAAAAAAGAGAGGCAGAATATTTGCTGCTTCCAGCTTCACACATTTTAAGCTTTGAAGCTTTTCTTTCTTTCTTTATGACCAAATTATACGTCGCCTTGATCTGTGGACATTTTTTACTAGTTCCTGACATTTTATAAACAAGAAAATGAATGTTTTAATTGGGAAATGATTAAGTGATAATGCACATTACAGTCCTAATTGGTAAAATATTCATATTAATGGTTTGATTTCAACCACATCACTCAGCTCTGCTGCAAACCAGAGACGCTTGACTATCGAACAACAACACCACCACACTGGCTGCACGGGACAAAAGACGCGTCCTTTCAGTCACAACAGCTTTTATTGATGAAAAAACGAATCGATTAATTGAGAAAATAACCGACAGATTAATGGGTAATGGAGCAGCCCTAGTACAGCACATGGACTTGTGCTCGGAGGCGGTGAGCGAGACAAAGACGTATCCGCTGTCTGCTCTGACGGAGAGAAATGACATTGAAATTCAAAGCCTTCCCCAAAACGAAATCACCTTCTGTGTTCGCTCAACAAAAGCTGTGGTTCTTTTGGAAAAGCTTTGAGCTCCGACGAGAGATAAGTGGTCTCTGCAATCAGCCGCACAATCCCCCCCCGACTTCTGGCAGGAGCACCTATTTAGACCCTTTCTGCTTTGACAGGAAGGTTTGGGGTTGTTTTTTGTCTGGCAGGAAAAAGACATCGAGACGAGCTACACGTCATTTAGGAAACTGATATTGAAGTTTGACTGAGAGGATAATTTTATCAATTATACCGTCTGAAAGAGAGGCCTCTTCTTTTGTTTTGTGCTCCTTAACGACACATTTCCATATTCATTTGACTATGAACATAGATTAGACTAAACAAAGTAGGCTTTCCTTTCTCTTCACAATAAAAGAGTGAACTGTGTTGTGTGAGATGATGGTGATTAAAAACAACTTGTCTCTGGTCCTTCAGGGCACCAATGCCTCGGCTCTGGAGAAAGACATCGGCCCGGAGCAGTTCCCAATCAATGAGCACTACTTCGGATTGGTCAATGTGAGTATCGGTAAATCCTCTCGTACGATAACAAAGAGCTTTTTGCCAAATACACACTGGTGTCGTTTGTCAGTGAGTCATGTCCTCTGCTGGATGGTTGGTACTGAAGGTACAGTCTGAGTGTGTTGGCCAATATTAGAGATGTTCTGTTTCCTTAAAGTGGCGTTCACATAAACACAGATGTTTCTCAACGCCCCAGATTTCACGTCTGCCAAACGGATAAAAAACAATTGATCAGATCTGTGTTTTTCCACCTGCTAACGGAAAGTTACTGTGAAGAACTGAGCTGGTGGAGACCCAAAACAGAGTTCTTCTTAATGCTCGTCATCGGTGCCACCGGGTCAGATTCAGATGAACTCATGCAGGTTCACCAGAAACTCCTTCAGCTCAGACTCCAGCAGAGACCGGTCCACCGTGGACGGACCCAGATCCTCCAGCA